TAGGCCATAAAAAACCATAATCAAAGAAATGAAATAAATTGTCTATAATAATTTAAATTGTGTGCTTTAAATAATATATCTTATTATTTTGTTGTAAGCGATAAGGATTATAGTTATTCAACAACTAAACTCGTAAATGAAAGTATCCAGTCGTTTCCGGAATTTAAAAAGTGATGTAACAAGTCGGCGGTATTACAGTTGTATAACAAGTATAATTCAAAATCAATACAATTGTTTAAAAATAATTTGTTCAATACTTACAAGAAATATGATCAGTTATGAAAAATACAAAATTTTAACAATACAAAATAGAAAGGGGTTAATATGTGTAAACACAAATATCTTTTATATTAAATAAAATACAAATACTTTTTTGTTATTCGATTTAAACAACAATTTGTTACTTTCTCATACTTAATTTTTTATAATATAAAAATTAATAAAAAAATTTTATATATCTATATATTATGAGTAATTAATTTTATATATTATCAATAAAAAAGTTTTATATATTTATACTAAGCAGCATTATTAAAAACTATACATTATAAGACAAAAGATTTCCAAGTTTTGTCATTCTTTACTTATACATTATTTTCTGTATAATCTGTTAATTATAAAATTATAAAAATATTTGATTATTATTACTTTATGTACAGAAAATATGAAAAATTATTTCGTTAAGTAATACATTTTTTGCATACAATTATTGTACTGTTACAAATATTACAAATGTATAAAAAAATATTAAGTACATAGACATTGGCATATTTTTGAGTGCATGGTAATGCGTTTCATTTGTAAATTCTTCATTAATTTTTAATTTAGCAAACTTTTTTTAAATTTTTCGTCATGGTAAAAGAATACAGATTTGTAACTTCAATGATAAGGAACAATATTGTTTAACATAAATGCTCGTGTTTTCCATTAATAACAACTAGATAATATTTGTTATGTACAATCACAAATAGTAAAAGAATTATGAATCGCTCCTTTCTTTCCAAAATGAAAGATTTGGTGATCCGCTTGTGTGTATTGTACAGTTTATCACTTCGTTTCTAAAAATATAAATTATTCATTATTTCTTTCGCCCGAGAAAAATAATTATATATTAACAATAAACTTACAAAAAACGATCTTTTAGAAGAAATGCTTTAGGTTGCACCCAATGCAATCTCTCACCATTGTAGCACAATATTTGTGTCATTGTGATTTTTCGGATTTCTTCTAATTGATTTAAAGTAAACGATCCTGGAGTGTTCATATTCTCATACCAATATCTATCACCTGTATTTATAATTTATAAAATATCATACTTCCAGAGTAATATATTTGTAATTAACTACAGATATCATGAATTATTTACCAATACGAATATTCCGAAAAGTGCGGCCCAATAAACAAAGGAATGTTGGTCCTAAGACTGAGTCGGGTAGGGGTGCTTCAGAGAGTAGTCCTGTTACTAAATCTATATCTCCCACGTTTCTGCAAATTGAAAAAGAAATATTACTATATTTTTTTATAACAAATGTCTAGAGTAACAAGATTATAGAATAACTAGATCGTAGGTTTTCATACAAATTTGCATTTTTTATGAACAAAAATAAGAAAGTAGAAGTACAGATTCATTACACTATTAAATATTACAATGAGCATTATACTTTGAATACTTCATATTGCATATTTTTCGCGTATTACGTGCGTTCTGTCTATTTTGCATCTTTAAATTTTCCATAAATGCATAAACATCTACAGTACAATTATAACATATATATATATATGTTTCTCTCTTACTTATAAACTTTTCGAAGTTTTTCTATAGTATCTTTGGACATTGCTCCTCTAAAGTCTTCAAAACTGCTGACGTACGATAAATTGCAAAATGATCGCCATTTGACATAAGGTGGTAAACCATGATCCCTTCCTTGCTGTATGATTTGTGCAGCGTAATCCACGGCAATATCGTTGCTTTTCCCATCATGGAAATATCGTTCCAAAAGGATTTCATTCAATCCCGGCGGCAATGGCTTCCTAGAATGTCCCGCTGTCGCGGAAATTAAATCTTGCATCCTAGATCGTCATTAAAACCAAGTTCTCATGGGACAATGTGTTAGCAAATTGTAACAATATTTACAAAAATTGCTTCATCTATATATGTTACCTATACTTTTGATAAATTTTTAATAGTTTTCTTTCAAACATTATGATCAAATCTTAATGGGTATGTGAAACAATGAAAATTTAAATGAAATAGAACTGTCTTGGTAATTCAGATTATAATGTCCTGATACAATTATTTATTACGTAAATTTTATTAATATAAAAATTTTAGTAATATTTATTACGTAAAATTATTAATATAATTGCCGAATTTATGTACCTTTCTTTTTTTGTATTGATTATCCATTTTTAAATTTAAAAAAGATTATAAAAATGCTAATAGCATATTACTCCACTTGTTGATCTTCACATAATGAATTCTAAGGTTCGTATAATACAAATAGTCACTGTTACACTCTGTAATTGATAGGTTGATGCTTTGAAAGGTTGCGTTAAAAACTTTGCCATTTAAAGTAACATCTGTAGAAACGATTCCAACAAATAGTTTGCTTGATCTAATGGCATTTAGATTGACATACATTGTTCTACATTAACCGTAACCATCTCTTTTTTTCTGTTTTCTTTTTTTCTGTTTTTTAACCGGGAAAATAAATACGAATGAAACAAGGACGTGTTTTTCAATTACTTAAAATATTTTTCCAATTATTTCATCTATCATTCAGTTGTGCGTAAATAATTTACTAAATTTACATTGATCTGTTAGTTTCTTTTAGTTAATTATGACATTAATTTAACTAATTTGAGATAATCAGTTTACTTAATATAATTGATATTTTAAAATATTTATACTATCATAAAATTAAACAAAGCGAAGAAATTTATGTAAATCTCACGAAGAAAGTTTCTTTTCAATGTTAAAGAAAAATGTTGATAAGTTCTATCTGCGAAATCGCGATTGGTTCTCAAAAATTATTCGAAATTTAAAAAAAAATTTCAATAAGAAAGTTTTTAAATATATGCGAGTAATCAAACGTTCTTAATAATTTGATAATTAATCTGATTATGCTAGCTTAGCAGTATCTTCATGTTCTTCCATGTAATTACTTTTAATAATTCTTTAGAATATATATTCCTTATTCCTGAAGCATAATATTACCTCACCATTCAGAATATTATAGTAAAATTCAATCTTACGAAACTTACAGTCAAATGTATAATAGACTGATCATATCACGTCGAGTGTTCATTAACTATATGAACCTCTCAAAAACCAAATTAATCAACTCCACTTTTTTCAGTTTCCCAATTTAATTACACAAGTAATTTCTGATTCTTGTTCGATCGAGTTTCAATAAATAAATAAATCCCTTGTAAATTTCATCGATAGCTCTGGTGCGGAGTTGAGTATCTATGGAGTTGATCAATACGAATGATTCTGAATGATATCTCATTGAGATAATATTTGTGTGTAATTGCAACTGACCTGTAGCGCCGACGATCAGACGATCAATAGCACCGGCTTCATAAAACTCTTGCGGGGCATAGAAGGCCGATAGTAAGAACCTTTCTCCAGACTTTAACGCCGATCGCGAGTCAACTAGGTCGAGGGTTTTTGGGGTCAGCGTGGCAATGAAGAAGAGTCCAGCAGACGCGGCAGCGTTCGAAAGTGTCGCATCCGTTCGAGGATCGTAGCCTCGAAAGTATCCCCGATGCGTTAAGCGTAACTGGTACCTTTCAATATTTCAAAAAGATCAAATCATTTCTTTCACTGTATACATACGTACAATAAGGAGTGTAATTGAACAAATAATAACACCGAGA